GATTGACGAAAATTCAAAGTTACAATGTACTCGCATTGTGTTGTTCACGCGACAAAAGTACGCTTGACGGGGGTTCGTTATCTTCGCTATAATAATTATCAGCAAAAAAAAAAAAAAAACCAATCAAAAAGTAAAATCAAAATTACATATAAAAACAAACCCCCGTCGCGTAGAATGGCAGATCGTTTTAATATCGTCGTTTTTAAATTACTTGTATTTATTATTTTTGAAAAACAAAAAAAAAAAAAAAAAAAAAAAACATGATATTATTTTCTCATTATCATAATATTATAGTGTAGTTCTGATTTTGGTTATTATTTATCATGTTGTCATTAAAACCGTAAATATTATAGTTTTATAATGTCTTTGAAGCGTAATATAGCGTATACCTATTACGTATTATTGTTTTTTTTTTTTTTTATCAATTATTATATTTGTTTTGAATTGTGTGTGAATAAAAAATCGTGTTTATATAATAAAAATTGCACTGGACAGATCCGAGTTTTTGATTATCACAGAATATTGTTTGTGTCGTCGTTGGTTCAAAAACAATAATAATAATATAATCACAGCGTGTATAAAAAAAAAAAACAAAAACAGCTATTGCTTTCATAATATCGGTCGGTACGAGTTATAGAATTTTTATTTGGATTAATCGCTCTTTAACGACATTAAGCTGATCGGTGTTTGTACGATATACAGGGCGGTTTTTTTGTTTCATCACGATTCAGCACAACGAACCCCACGAAGATTTCGGGGTAAAACAACGTTTTTGACTGTCAGTTTTTTTTTTTTTTGTCAGTCGAACCGTTTAACGGTCACATATTCTTACAATGTATTTTAAAAATGTGATTCTTATTCGGCGTACACGGTAAATACGATATACGTTGACTTTTGATATCGATGCTCCCCGTCAGTCCCCTCCCATTCCCATTAAAATCGGATTTGAAAAAATATCACCTTTTCCCCTTTACTCGTCTGGTTTAAATTTTTAGACTGTTTTTTTCTCAAAAACCAGTCTGTTCGATATTCAGCGTATTGAAATTAAAAAAAAAAAAAAAAAAAAATGTCTTTTTTTCCAATCCGTATTGAACGGCATGGGAATCGATTGTAAAATCGATTACGGTCAATTAAGTCAATACGGTCGACGATAATTGAGTGTATGGGTGAACATTTGAAAATTGTGTTAAAATTTAACAACCTTTAAAAAAAGAAAAGTAAAAATCTTGATTGTACTTGAAATTGTCCGATAGAATTGCTGGATCGTGGTAAAAAAAAATCACCCCGTATTTTATTGCGGCAATAAAATTACTAAATATCGTTAATAATATTATAAGTGTTTGATATATTTTTTTTCTCCTCTAATTACTGCGACAGGTGTAATATAATTAGCTTTGTGCGAAGTAAAAATGTATGCGTGTATGTATTATATTACAATAGTAGACTAATCGTAAAAATGGATTTTGGAAATACGATTGCGTTGTTCCCGAATCGGTTGAACGCTTACCATTTCGTTCGAACCTCGTTACGTGACGCCACGTGATTTAAGTAAATTAATACGTAACGCGAAACAGAATACTCTGATCCACGGTAGTATTCTACAGGGCGATTGCAGGACATTAAGATTGTGTTTTTTTTTTCCACATAATATTTTGTTCGACATTCGTTATAAATTCGCAGTTTCCGCGTGTATTGTGTTGTTTACCACATGGCCGCGGAATCGAATTCGGTCCGAGCGCAACCGTTATTCGTCCGCCGTCACCCTTATATTATTATAGTTTTACAATACACATTCGATTTTAAAACGACCACCTATATTGAAAATTCCGTACACAGACGACGTTTTAGTGTTTACATTTTTTCTATTTCCGTCAACCGGACCCCGTCCGTCCGATATAGACTTCGTCCATTAATACGGAATTTCGAATATAAATTGCCGTCCGAAAATCAAAAGTGGATAGTGGTTTCCGATAATAATCACGGTCATGTAACGTTTCGGATCGGATTGTTACTTAAATTTAAATAAAAAAAAAAAAAAAAAAAATGTCGTTATCATAAAATATCGGTCATAGAATTGCGATTGTTAAACCCCCACGATTCGGTGATCGGCTGTAACCTTAGTAGCGTATTAGCGTACCCGGCGTTCTCACCGATCACGACGCGTCGCGAGAATTGCAATGTCCGTTCGTCCATAAATCGTTCAGTTATCGACAGGATATAGCGCAGACACGTGTAATATTAATAAAACGTGTTTGTTACCCCGTCGAAAAGAGGCCATTCTGACGTTATAACGTTCAGAATACTCCGTGTTTCGACCCATTGGCTTTGTACTTACTACTTATGCCGGCAATCGCAATTGGCCCGTATTTTATTATTATTATTATTATTATTAATTTTTTTTTTTTGGGGGGGGGGCCTTGACGTCCCGTAATATTGATTATGTGTACTCGGTATATTTACTTTGAAATGGCCGAGTTTTTTTTTTTTTTGGCGGGGGGGATTGCGCCTATCTATACACCGCCATTATCGTATATTTATACAGGCCGAACGCATTTCGGTTTTTAAACACAAACGCTTTTGTACCCCGTTCGCCGTCACGACGTTTTCCGGATCGTAAGTATACAATTCGTCGACGGAAAAAAATAAAATATATCGATGTATCATATTGTACTATTGTTATTATTATTATTATTACTATTGTTACGCTTGTGGTGTTTGCTCAGCGGAGATCGGGCGAATAAACGACGCGGAATCGAGAGCCGGATGGGCGAGGACCGCGAATTGCGTTACACGAGAAGACCGCGAACGCTTGTCTTGAAATAATGATAATTATTATTGTTGTAAATATGCCTGACGCGGAAATAGCGCCTTATAAAAAAAAAAAAAAAAAAAAACCAAAAAAAGAGCTAGCTGCTAAAAAAACACACATACTATACATACATAGCTATACTAACCGGTACGTATCCGTTTTTTTTTTTTTTGTTCGACAGGTTCGACGTCGGATTTACACGGTCGGTGTCGCCCGTCGTTGTCGTAGTCGTATTATTCAAATTGTTCTACCGAATGCCATCGGGGCTTTAAATTTTAAATTTGAATTTTTGTGTTTGACGCCGCGAATAACAAAAAAACAAAACTACTACGGGCGACCGGCACGTCGAGTTTCATCGGACGTCGGACAGATCGCGCACTGCTTTTAAAAATAATAATATTTTATAAATAGAAGGCGATTCGCGACGACTAAATATTTTAATCGTACTCGTAGTGCTACGGGGTTGTGATATAATAATATTTGTTCGTTTTGTGGATACATTATTCGGATTGGTCTTCCGTGCCTCGATTATGTCAGAAAAAAACGTTGCCCGTCCCGGTGGCCCGTACGTTCTCGGTTAGGTTAAAATTTAATCTGACCTACCCTCACCCGACTTGATTACATGTCTTTACGGTTTACTTTGTATCACAATTACATTTTTTCAGTACGGTGTGTGCACGTGCGTAGTGCATCACCTTTGATCTCAAATTTGTCGTACAAATACCCTAAATTTGTTGAACTTGTTTGATGGACCCACAAATATATACTATCTAACTAGATGCCCGACTCGAGGATCATACACGAAGTCGGCCGTCGTACCGTAGGTTTGGCGATGTTTAACAAGCTAGTGTTATCATAATTTTATTGATAACTACTGATAACGATTTTTAAATTGAACGATATGGAGTGTATTTGAAACTGCGTTTTTCAGTTTATCATTACGTTATCGCAATAATATTGATTATAGATTGTAAACATTGCACGACCTAATTGTCTTCCGAAACCCATGCACGGTAGAATATATAGAGTCGGGAATCTAGTTACATTACAGTATCAGTGGCGTGGTCAGGGATTTTCAACGAGAGGGAATGCAGCAAACAAGAATCGCGAATAAATCGTTAAACCGTCGTCTCTAACGAACTCGATTATGAGAATAATTGGTAATTTAAAAGCTTGACCCCGAAAAAAGTCAATTTCCACGCAATATATCGAACTTTTTCTCGCGACTCGACTCGACTCGGTATATTTATACGCGCTTCGACACACTCGTATTTTTTTTTTTTTTTGTATTCTCAATCTAACGGGAGGAGATATATCCCCTAACTACCCCACCCCGCCGCCGTATAGTAGGTGTACATCTGTAGACGGACTCCTTTGGTATGGAGATGAGCACTACCACCTGCGAACAACGTCTGCGTACGCCTATACAAACCACTGTCAACCCCGTCTCGTTAAAACACCCTGGACCTCAATAAGACGATAGCCGTCACGCTACCGGGATTCGATTCTCGAAAAAAACAAATAAAATAATAATAATAATGAAAAAAAAAAAAAAAAACAACCGGATTTCGGACCCGCCGCATTTTTTTCCACGGTGTAAATGTATCCGCGAAACGAACACTGTACTACCCCGCATGCCTTTTGTCGCCGTTTCAATTACGCGTTCTTCAATCTACTAACGTGTGCATTTTTGTTTTGTCCCCCCGGCATTTAGAACCGCGAACCCGTTCCGCTGGACGACCACTTCCAGACGGCCGCGGCCAGTTATTACGCGCCGTACGCTCCGTACGTCGTCCCGCACCGCCAGCCGTCGTCGTCGGCCAGCCTGTACTACGGCCGACCGCCCGGGCCCGGCCACTACCCCGGCGGCGGCGGCCGCCCGTACCGGCCGACGGCGCCCATCAGCCTGCACGGCGACACGCTGGTCAACCAGCTGGTGGCCGCCCAACAGCAGGCGTCCGGCGCCAACGCGGTGCCGCCGCCCGACGTGGAGATCATCGACGTCAACAAAAAGCCGCTGCGACCGGTGTCCGGCGCCCAGTATTACTACTACGACAACAGCGGCGGCGGCGGCGGCGGCGGCAAATTCGCCGGCCGTAAAAACTAAACGTCCGGGGCCGGGCGCTGCGGCTGCTACGCGTGACCCGTGGAAACGTGACCGCGGCCGCGGTATACGGTATATTGAATTACCACACTGCCGCCGTCGGTAAACCTCGCCGTCAGGGATAGGATTTATAATGTGCGATAAGAATTTAAAAAAAAAAAAAAAAAAAAAACGTCCGATATGTATTTTTAACAAACGATAATTGTGTTTAGATTTGGGTTTTATTATTATTATTATTTTTTTTTAACGCTTATTTGTATACGAAATAATGTCGTAGTATAGTCGAAATCGTTTTGTTACACAGACGGGTGAATAATACAGGGATTCAATACTGCGGTAAACCGGTTTTACTTCAACGGTTTCTCTCGATTCCGGTTCGCTCGCGCTGAATTTACCACCGGAAAATAGTAAAATAAATTATTCCTCCAACAAATTCTCAAAAAAAAAAAAAAAAAAAAAAAACTCCAAATATGTAAAAACAACAATATTCTTTCCGGAAAAATCGGGCATTCCGACAACACCAATAATATTAACAGTTCTATGCGCTAAACAGTGGGGACACGACGTTAACGGCCCCCGTTCATTTGGACTAAAGGATGCGCACAGGCCCCCGCAATCGTACGTACAGAAAATTTTAACCCTACACGCGCGTATGATTTGAATTATTAGATTTCCGCTCGTCTCGTCTCTCGTTTTTCGTAAATATAAATATTAATATTGTCGCACCCGGTTCGATTTATCCTATTGTAATTTTCGCGTGTCCGCGCGACGTCGTCGGTTTTCGCTATTGTTTACGGTACTCGTATGAATGATAACGTTATCGTATTCATTACGGCGCGTTCACATGGGCGACGCGAGGCTCCGACGCTTCCGGGCCCCGCCCCCCCGAATTCGCGTTTCGTCCGCTCGATTTCCAACTGTCCCAACTCCAAGACGGCGACCGTCCACTGGATTAGTACCGCGTTACTAAACGTTTCCCACGGAAAAATGTCTCGCTCGAAAACGCCTGGATTTCATAACACGGAGATCCGATGGCTTTTTTTTCAAATTCGGTTTGATCAGTTGTTTTCATTGTTCAAACGCGATAATCGCATTTCAGGAGTAACGATAATTTCGATAATCGGGCAGACTGTTCGACTTTAGAGCCTCTCTCTTGTGTAAACTTCCAGTATCTAGTTACATTACTGTTTTATCGATTTTTTTTTTTTTTTTTTTTTTTTTTTTATATGCTTCTCGGTCCCGTTACGACGATCTGATCTCATTGCCCGGGCGCTGCACTCACTGCACCCATCAGGCTCGTCGATTTTAATACGATTACGTCGTCGTTGACCGAAACTCATTAGTCGATAAAAAAAAAAAAAAAAATGTTTTTTTCCGTACAATGATCCGTGACAAAACCCGAGTACAATAATTATTAACGTGTATTTAGTTTTATTCGGGGATTCGATGGCTGGTTTAAAACGCGAACGATTTTTCGAAAATATCTTTTCAATTTTACCGACGACGACGAAAGTGGAACGGTTTGTTGTTTTAGGATAAACGGAACTGCCGTATGGTTATTATTCCTATAAAATCAAAATAAAAAAAGAAGGGGGGCGGGTTTAGAGGTAGTTGACATATTTGGTTTTTTTTTTTTTTTTTTCTAATATACTCATAACGAATCCGCGCGATTATCACAGGACCGCGTTATTATTAATAGTCGCTACGGTGATGTGGTTTCGCTCAGCTACGAACACGGCGCAGGCATTATTATAGGCATGTTCGCCCCGAGTCGAAATTGTATGTAAACATACACGCGTACACGCGTTGCTTAGAATAACTTTGGTTTTTTTTTTTTTTTGTGTCGGCCGTCAGTTAACGAATCAGAAACATCAGACGACATTAGGTCGAGGTTAAGTATACTATAATATCTTAAATTCAGGTACGTTACTATGTAGTATAATCGTTTGTTTTAATTTTTTTTTTTTTTTTTTTTTACGGTTTTCGCTCCCGACGTGTACTAAGTCCTATTTGTTTTTATACGATTATTATTAATAATTTATTATTTATGTTTCTAAAATAAAAACATATAATATACCAGTGTAATTGTTATTGTACCCACGTATTGTTTTTATACGTTCTCCTTTGATCTATAAACGGCTGTTATACACGATAGCACTGTTAGTACTGATAGTACTGTTATCGACGGGTTTTGTGCGATTTAAGTTCGTCGTGAGTCTTTTCGAGAGGGGGAGGGAAGGCCCGTATGATTTAAGGCCGTAAACCTCCGCGAACGCTCTACTGTACGACGGTATCGCGATCGTGCGTTTTATAATAAAATTATAAATACATTTACTGTGTTCCGCGCGGTCTGTGTGTTCATGTTGATTGGATTTGCCGAAGAAAATTTTAGCTCGTGATATTCTATGAAATAGAATATTATGCTGTGCCGTAAAAACGTATTATGAAATTTGCATTACATTTTTTCTTCAGCTTGAAAACAGAAACCGGTAAAAAAAAAAAAAAACAATAACTTATGATCCAGGCATTCTCAACGGTTCTCGCAAATGTAAATAAGATCCACAAACGACCTCAGCGCGTATATTGCCATTTCTGTCCCACCATAGACTCAATTAATGCTCGTTTTTTTCCTCTCTTGGTATCGAATTTTTCCTCATGAATGCTCTTTCAGCGAATAATATTTGTGTATAATTAGGCACGTTCATAGATTTCTATTTCAGTCAGGTCTTTAAATTTAATTGTGTGAACTTTACCTATTTACCTTCCAACTTTAGTCAATTTGAGAACGTTTTTGTCTAAAATAATTGTTGAGATATTATAATAATCTATGTTTAAGTCACATTAACAAAAAAAAAAAAAAAAAAAAAAAAAAAAAGAACTAAAACTAAATTGATATCGATGATAAACTATCAGAAAACCTATAATATGCTATATGAAAAACAAATTATCATTTTTATATTTTTTATCGAAAACTCAAATAATCAGGTACTAATTATTTTATCAGCTCGTATTTATAAATGTTGAACAATTATTTTGTTATTCTCGATTTGTTGAGATATTATTAAGATAATTCCTGTAAACTTTATCAAAAATAGCGGTACGCATTGAAAATGTATAAAACCAAAACATTCTGAAAAAATAAATAAATATTCTAAACTAGATAAAACAAAACGTTAACAAACTTGTCTACCGTTCTACCGTCCACCAACAATAATGTACAAAAGCGTAATACAGGTGTGCGCTACTCATGTCTAATGATTTCCGTGGTCTACCTAATAATAAATAAAAAATATACTATATACATAAGTACAGGTGAGTGGTTCGTTTCGTGTACAATGCATATTTGATAATGTTTAAAGAGCAAATTATATTGCCGATCTTCCACACGGGCCTTCTGTATATTATTTATTGTTCAGTATAATGTATATAAAAGTAACATAAAGAAAAAAGGCGGACTTACTTGGCACGATGGGTGAGCCGCTGTTGTAGGTCAGAAGTTGTGAAGGTTTTCGGAGAGAAGTTTCTTTTATATAGGATACATGTACGTGCGTTTTCCCGTTTTTCTAAGTTTTTTTTTCGGTTTTTTTCCAACAATGATAAAAACTGTTCGGAAAGTCAAAAAAAAAAAAAAAACGATCTCATTAAAGTACCCGAAAGATACGATTTCAGAAAAAAATGCTACACTTGATACATTGATGAAAGATTTCTGGTGGAAAATTTGGTCGAAGAAAAAAAAAATAAACATTATTGTAAAACCAATATATTCATCGCTACGCTCCGAATCGTGTAGATACACTTCGAGTAAAATATTATAATCAAACGAAATACGTACTTTTTTAAATTTTATTTTTAATCTTCAGGTTAGTTAATTTTCCACGCCTCCCTATTGTATTGCTTAAGTTTTTTAGACCCTTGTCCACATTTTATTTTATTCGTTTATCGTGATTTGGGTCGTGCATTTTGCCTACGGCATTCCTCTCCCAGTGTACCCTTCAACATCTTCATTTTTTGTCTGTATAGTCGTCTTTTGTATTTTCGTGTGCCCTATCATCTTAATATTTTCTCCGGATTGAATACATTTCCATAGCTGTCGGTTTTCTTGTATCGTGTCTAATACGTTTCCGTTTGTAACCCTATCGGTCCAGTTGAAGGGGAAGGGGCGAGCATTTTTCTCGAAACACCGTACTTCAAAGGCCAACAGTTTATATTTCCATCGAGTATTTTGACAAAAAAAATTATATATACACATATTTAACACATCTAGGGATCGAATTATTTACGTCAATGGATCGAACCGAATCCTGCAACGCAAAAAGGTCGCGACGCGTAGGATGTTTCGAACTGAACCACCGATTAACAACGAGCTATACATAGGAGCGTTTTCAAAGCAAAATATGACACGTTCTACTACACCCACTACGGTTTTACTACTACGTCACCCCGGTCGCGACCCTTTTCATTGTCTGTTTATGCGCATTAATATAACAATAAAAAAAAAAAAAGAAAAGTAATTTTTCGCCGTTGACACAAAAAATGCGCGTCTGTACCGCTTTTCAATAGGTATGATACGTGTGCATAATAATAATATAGTCGTGTGTTAATGAAATTCCCAGTACATTATCGTTTTTCTACCCTTTACGCGGACATAAAAAACAGAGGTGGGTACAAGGGAATAATAATAATTTCGCGCGAGCGCTCGCGCGAAAATAATGTTTACAAAACTTCGCAGTCGTGTCATCTCGGCCGGGACGATTGAGTTCGCGTCAGTGTTTTTTGTTTATTACAAATAAATTAAAATATAGGTACGACGTATCATTTTTTTTTTTTTTCACTCGTTCGTTTTAAAATTACATTTCGCGAAAGAAACGCGAGTTTTTTCGGATATAGATACGCGCACGTGTCGTAGAATTAAAAATATAATTTTTTTTTTTAATTCCTGAGAATATTTCTGATTCTTATTACAATCATAAAGCCGTATAGTTTTCGCCGATTTGTTTTAAATGCAGGTACCGTTTCAATAAATGATCAACTAACGACTAAACATGCAAATGCGCTAATAAAATAATGTTATGCGCACAATACGACGCGTGCTACAGACTTGGAACAAACGATGACACGCTGTACGAGAAACGATCCGGTTAACAAACGATGACACGCGGTACGAGAAACGATCCGGTTAAAATAGGATTGTTTTTTTTTTTTTGTTTGTCGCGGTCCATTGCGGGCCATCGGCTGTTGTGTCCGGAAATGATAAAGATCTGCGTAATGATAACAATTCGAAAACCGAAAATGTACTGCCAACCGTTGCCAACGAAATTACCCTACAATATCACAATATAGATGTTAAAATATAATTTTTTACATTTCATAAGATAACAACAACGTGAGCACTTAAACATTAGTATTCGATTTGAAAATACAAGACCCCGTCGGCTGTTGGGCGGAAATAAATCGCATACAGTGGAGGTGCATTGCGCTGGCATCCGCAGCTTGGAAAATGTACTCGAAACCGGCACCAACATTTGTTGTATAATCTGTACACATTTGTAATAATATTTCCAAAATTTGCACAACCAATCAAACCGGGGAAAATCGATTTTTCAACCTGCGGATGCCGGCGTAACGTACCTATACAGCGGGAGTTTGGCAGAGAAGTTTAATGATTATTAATGTGGTCGACCAAAAGAAATTAATTCACGTTTGTTTGAAATTGAGTTGTAAATTTCCGAACTCCCGGGAAAAAAAAAAAAATGTCCATTAAAATATTAAAATTATCTATGGTACCGTAATGCAAGTACGTAATAATGTAATCAAGGTGCGTAGATCAGAACAGAATGGACCCATCGCACACAAGTTATAACTGAACAGCTAGTGTGCACCAATATATTAATAAAAAAAAAAAACCGTTTTCATAAAAATGTTGGATAAATTTAGGTTGCACGACACGCCTGGCGCCTACGTTTAACGCGGTCGGCTCTTGTCATTTTCGGGCAACCGCCCCCGACCCGGTTATCGCATAGGACGGACCGGTCGCTGTACCGTTTCTTCCAAGACCGGGTGTCGCCGACACCCCGCGTTTATCAATTCGTGTTGTTACCCGACTCGTATTCAGTTTACCATACAGATTTAACGCGCAATCCCTCGAGGGCGCATTAAATATTTTTAATTTATTTTCGTTTAAAACTCTCGAGTCGTGTACTTTTAAATGTACCTACGCGTGTTGTATACAAAACCACTTTATTTGCAATAAAACATAAATAAAGCGAGTTACTCGAACAATTATTTTTCAGACGACACGGCACATTATTACGTATGCCTAGAGCCCGACGCGCGGAGCACATCATATTTATTTACTGCGAATAAACAATATCATTATAATAGTAACAAATTATCATTGTTTTTGCCGTATTTCATTTAATCGTTATACGCATTTCCACGAGATATTGAAAACGAGTATATTTAGTTGGCCGGGTTTGAAAACTATTGATTTTGTTTTTTTAGTAAATCGTCGCATTGCAAGATTCGTGGTTTCTGTTAACAAGAAGTCCGTTCGATCGTTATTTAATGTCGATAACGATGTTGCATATTAAAATGAAAATTTTAAATTCGGACTGTAACTTTTCGGGGTTTTCCGAGTTTTACTTATAGAAGTGTTTTGTTTTTTTTTTTTTTATCGGATAATACTTTTTCGGGAAAAAATAACAATGGTTTTTTTAACGTCACATCCTAAACAAATGCGGATTGGCTTTATTTTTGTTAATTTATGAATAATCTCGACTGGAAGGGAAAACTATAATAACATAGTAATGTATTCGCTATATAACCCGAAGCACCAGGTTTCCGAGCCTCATCCACGATCATTTTTTTTTTTTTTTTATAGCGACGATCTTTCGAATATTGTTAAAAAATCGCATAACAAATATTCTGTTATTCTCGTTTAAATGTCCGTAGACGAAACGAATTCGTGACAAAGCCCTTAGCGTCCGACAGCGAGCTTTCGGAAAACAACGCGTAGCGCTTTGAAACGCACAACTTTAGTTATAACAACATAATCGAATTTAAATTTTAAAAAGTCGTTCCGTAATCGAATTCGAAACGTCTATATTTTACTCAGAGTAATTTGTTTCCATGAAAATTTCGATAATTGTCAGTATAATATATGCACACATTTAATACCCCGGCTGTCGGGGTCCGTCTGCAGCGTAATATATTAACAATTATAATTCAAACTCAACGTTTTTACCGATAGAACGAACGCGGTGAAGACGATAGATGATATATAATAATCGTTAACTCTTTTTATTATTATTATTATTTAAAATAATATCACAGTGAATTACAAAGTATCATTATTTAATTTACCTCGATACGCAATGCTTGTGCCGAGGTAAACGGGTTGGCCGTACAACTTAACTTAATTACAATATTTACGGTAGAAAAAAAACAACAGTAATAAATGTACTCATCTCAGATTTAGGTATCCGACCGCAGTTCGAGTAGCGACCAGTTGACAATAGTGTTTTTTTCCCCTAAATTCACGGTTATTAACGTTAACAGTGTTGTAAATACATTTTTTTCAGATCCAGTGGCATAGCGTTCGAGTTCTCCGGACCTAAACAATCTACATACTTGTTTCCTATACTGTTTTTTTTTTTTTTTTTTTATGCAACTAACACGCGTGTCATACGCTCCGGTTTCCCGTGCATTGTCATTGTCTCGTTTGGCAGTAGGTTTACCTATTTGAAACACAACGGAGAACCGTCTGTACAAACACCTGACCGGTAGAACTTCAGGTTCCTTATAATTTAACGGAGTCGAGCCGCACAAATCGTTTTCCTTTAGACGCGTCCCCGTAGCTCGGTTTCGTTGAGTTCCGAGCGGTTTGACGGCGTCACCGGAACCGCCGGCCCGTACTGATAGGCCGCGCTGAAAGAACGACCGCACGGACGCGCGCGCGAGTACAACACAATGTATTTTTTTATTATCTCGACGTTCCGCAGCCCGATAGTGTATTACATTATTATTATTATTATTATTGTAATAACACAATGCCGGGGCAAAATAATTAATTTTCTTTGGCGAATAGTTGTACGGAGTTATTTTACTCGTGTACAAAACACGATCGCAACAATACTAATAATAATATGAGAGAATCTCCTTCCGCGTTCGCCGTCTTCGCAATGCGCGCGCGACGCACGAGATCGATCGGATCCGAAACCAGCGGTCGCGAACCCGCGGTCAACTCGCGCCGTGGCCGCTCGTCATTTATCCGACGTACACCGGCACGGTTCGCAAGCGGACAATAATAATAAATGCTCATCCGCTCATACCGAAGACCGGATTCAATTGTCGTTGCAACTTTTCCTTGCAACAGAGACAAATCAGATCTGATTAAATTCATAGCCGACACGCGCTAACAACATTCCGCGCGTTCGATTTTATAACGCGATTTTTTTGTTCAATTCACGACGTTTTTGCGATTTTTCTGCGATTCCCCCCGCGTTTTTAAATCATAGGCGCGTATCGTTCGCGTGCAATTTTCCAGAAGCCCGAAGAGCCCGGCGAGCGACAGACGGCTATGTGTACATGGCGGTAATTAAATTCAACGTAGCAGTACAGCGATTCGTGTGCGTTTACCTTAGTTGGTATCCCAGTACCGTATTTCTTCGGTCAGTTCGACCGCACAGCGAGAACGTATTCGACGCAACGCCGAAAATAAAATCAACATTAAATAGTAAAATGTCGAATTCGATAGCTACTTACAATGACAATAAAGAAATATTTTCATCAGATGGAACGGTTGTATATTGTCTCGTGCGTAACAAATGCGTGTCTACTGAAAAACAATATCTATTAGAATCTAATAGATATTTTTTTGATGATCTAATAATTAGACCATCATTCCGAAACAAGGAAGTTTTGTATTTTATGCACATACCGCACGAAATATACTATATATTATTTCGAAAATACGTGTATATTTTTTTTTAGTTCAACAAATACATGCGTTATAAAGGAATAAAGAAAATTGCTTTTTATTACATCTCAAAATGCAAAAAATACAAAAATGTATTTTTTTGAAGATTTATGCAATGCATTTGTTGCTGCAAATATTCCTTTACATAAGCTGGGCAGTCATGTGTTAAAATCATTTTCGGAAAAGCAAATCAATGGCAAATCAATTCCGGACGAAAGCATTTTAAGAACAAATTGCATACCAAATATTTATAAAAGCGTTATGGACCAAATAATTAGTGATATTGGAAATAATTACGTTTACATAATTGTTGACGAAACAACCGATCCAAGAGGGTGGTATTAATTATTTTTTTAGTTTCTCATATAATAAAATATACTATTTTCGTTTAGGTTTGGCTATTGCAAATTTATTAATTGGTAAATTAGACGGGACGCCTAGTAAATCATATTTAGTTGCATGTAAATAACTAGAATCCACCAATTATGAAACTTATTTGTCAGTTTATTAACTCCTCGTTAAAAATATTTCCTGGTGTTGACCAAAAAGTATTACTTTTTATTAGTGACGCCGGTACTTATATGATCAAAGCAGCAAAAACATTAAAAATATTTTTCCCGAAATCAATTCACATTACATGTATGGCGCGCGCAGTCAATAGAGTTCTAGAGAAAATTCGGGAATTGTAACCCGACATTAATAAATCGATTAACAATGGTAATACATTAAGTACCTATTTAAAATTTAAATACATGTGTAACTTATTTTCGATTATTTCAGGAAAAAAAACTTTCTTAAAAGCACCATCGAGAATAAATAAATACAGAAAAGAAATGCGGGGTTTACCTTTACCATCCGAATATATTATTACAAAATGGGCAACATGGTTAAACGCTGCACTTTTCTATGCAAATAATTTTATAGAGTTTGAAAACGTGATTTAAAGTTTACCAGATGATGCTACAAGTGTCGAAAAGATGAAACAGCTAGTTCGAAATAACGCAGTCAAATGTGGTTTAGCATTCGTAAAATTACACTTACCGGAGTTACCCATATATATATATACAGATAAAACTCTTTGCGTTTGATAATTGGTCAATTCACTCTAATTTTTCCTGCACAAAATCGGATGTACTCAACGAAAATTTGACATTATACAATTTTCGACATAAACCGTATAACAAAAAATATTTGTATAGGTACCATCGTGTAAATTACAATTGTTAATTTTTTTTCTCTACTCAATAATGTTGTCGTACACGCAAGATTATCTCTTAGTCGTATACGGCAACAATACACAAAACTAGGTCAAGATCTTCGGTTATTGATGTCGCAACACGTCAACAATTTTACTCTATAGAACTCAGTAGCTGGCTTTAGTGATCGAAAGGCCAAGAGAATGTTACTCCTTGTGCGCAGCGGAGTTCTAAAACCCATTTCCTTAACCCAGCTCTTGGTAGTTCTATATTTCAACAGCTGCAGCTCGTAGTTGAGTATTTAGATAATAATACGTCCGATAAGTACTATGGAGCGCTAGGTAACCGAGTGAAACCGAGTTTATATTTAAACACATAAAAAAATTAAACACAAACGAGTTTTCCAAAATATAACACAATATTTTATTTAACTGGCTTGGCTCGTTCTCCGAGTTTCCCATCCGAAAGTCCGGCGAAGAATAATTTTCATAACAATTCATTTTTTTTTTTTTTTTTACTTACAAAGTAATTATAATTATTGTTACATGATAATTAAAGTTTAAAATAAAAATAAAATACCTAACACCTTTAAGCACATGCTTGTGTTGGTGGTAGACAGCTAAAATAACATATAATATGAACAATTTTATTATAAAACATGAAAAAACATACAATAATCTAAAAATAAATATAAAGTCATTACTAATGTACAATAAAACTTCCATGTAACGGTCACCGAAGGGACCGAAAATAATGATCGTTCTTTAGAGGTGCCCTATAGAGATAGCACTTGACGGAACAAAAAAAAATGACCGTTAACGGAAGTTTTACTGTATAGCAATTATTACCGATATACAATATTTATTATACTATTGGAATATTGTCTGAAATAGTGATAAGTAAATTATGCGCTTATAATCAGAATTGGCAGAAACGACCGTAATTTATAAAAGCATAAACGCATACGCATATAAAATAAATGCATTAGCCTGCGACAGTAGCGCGTTGCCTTCGTCAGAATCTAAAATTGACTAACTCCGGGTTTAATAAATTTTAGATTTGGACCGTAGCGAGGAATGTATTAATTTTACAATGAACTAATTTTGGTTCAATAGGCATTTTTATTTTTCGAGTGTTTTAACGTAATTTGTAGATACTCTGTGGATAAAATTATTAGACTTAAGTCGTGTTTTTTGGTAAAAAAAAAATAAAAAAAGGACATACATACTTCGAACGTGGGCGCAATCACTGTTATATATGGTAAGTTTGGAAGTTAGGCAACAAATGGGAAATTAATGTACTCGTATATCTGTAAGCAACGATAAATCATTGCTAACGAAAAAACGATTTTGAACCAAGTTCAGTTGATAATGTTGCTTTGTCAACAATACTATGTATGGTATTATATCATATTGTGGTAAAATGATTTAAACAATGTGCGTTTCCGTGACTACAAAAATTGTTTAAAAAATATTAAAATAAAAACTTAATAATAACAAAAAATAAATAAAAACGGTTGCTAATGACAACCTTCTTTTTAATCTTTTAATCTTTTAAACCTAAAGACCGAAGTTTTCTCCATTATCTCGAATATTAATGAGAATTTCAAAAAATGACCTCTTTAAAGTACCATCCAGAGAAAATTTCCTTTCAGAAAAGGTGCTATATTTAATAATCGTGGTAGGCTTTCTGGTAGAAAAAGTGGCTGCATAAAAAAAAAAAATTAACATCATTGTAAAACCAATACATTTCTCGTTCCACTCAGAATCTAAAATAAGTTTAACATAGTCATTTTTGTTTATATGAATTCTTATATCAAATTTTGGCGAAAATCGTAAATATTACGTCTTTCAAAACGTGTAAAACCGTACTTTGCTCCGAATCGTTTTTCGTTAGCAATAATTTATCGTTTCTGACGGATATAAAGTATATCACTTAATATATCATTCTAGATTACTGCACACAACAGTGCCACTGGCACATTAGACCCCAATATCAACACTTCTTTTTATCTACGACTGAGTTGTACCAATTAATAGCTATACCGTAATGAAATAGTAATCGTTAATACGTGGCTATTGGTTTGTAGAAAATACCATTTCGTTTAGATTCTGAGTTTAGCGACGAGTGTATTGGTTTTACAAAAATGTTTATTTTTTTTTATATGAACACTTTTTCTACCAGAAAGCTTACTCCGATTATCAAGTTTAACAACTTTCTAAAAGGTTATTTTCTCTGGGCGACATTTTAAATAGGTAATTTTTTGAAAGTCTCATTAATATTCGAGATAATGAGTAATTCTTAATCTTAAGGTTAAAAACAATTTAAAATATAAAAACAAGGTTGCAACCGTTTTTATTAATTTTTTGTTATTTTAATCTGTTTTGAACAATCATTGTTGACACGGAAACGCACGTTGTTGTCATCATTTTACCATAATGTGACATATATATATATATATATTGTTGACAAAGCAACATTATCAACTGAACTTCATTCATAATCGTTTTTTCGTTAGCAATGGTTTATCGTTGCTTACAGATATACATTATTAAATTATCGTCTGTATCTTACCTTCCCCACTTTCCGCCTACATCAGTACCTGCACCCACGTGCGATGTATGTCCGTCTTTTTTTATTATTATGAAATTAACGACATTAACGATAAAATTGTAAAGGAAAAAAAAATAATCGACTTAAATCACAAATTTACTCAAACTTTAAAAACATCTATTAACTCAAGTTAGTTAACTGACGCAATGACTAATACTCTAAATTCGTTAATTATTTTTCAACCGTTTTAAATTTAACGAGTTAATAGTCTTCAATAACTTGCCCTATATTACCTTTAATATTGAATTACATTACACCGGAGTAAAGGTATACGTATAATATCTATATGTATATACGAGCACATTAATTCAATGCTGCTCTGGTCGTGTGCATAATATTGTTTTCGACATATAACACGATATCGATTGTGCCCTTCGGGCACCGTACCGCTAAAACATTGTTTCCAGAAGCAAGATTGTCTGTGTGTGAAACGTATTTCTAAAACGATATAATATTGTATTATTATTATTACTATTATTGCCTTCAGCCGACCGCAGAATATCCGATATTAGGTATTATAATCAAGGCTTGAATTCGAAAAGCCAATTTCGGTTTCGGTTTTGATTGATAATACCACGGATTATCTTAAACCAGATGGTGCACACCCGGGCAGAACAAAGGATTGCACTAAAACATAAACAAATCGAATCTACCCCGGAATCAGTGTCGACGCATTACAAGAAAAAAAAAATTGAATTTACCTGCCGACGGTTTAAAATGGTATTCAATAATGTTATCCGAGTTCGGCAAAAAGAAATTTACAGTACCCGTCAAAATGATATTCAGTGATGTTCGGGTCCGTAGAGCTAAGGTGTAAACAGTGTAGACTGCAGCCTACACAATCACCGATTCGGGGGCACCGCATACTGCCCCGGCGGTATTTTGATTAAAATATCCGAAATCCGAAACAGTGAATTAAAGCCGGTATCACACTGCATCGACGCGTTTTGTCGCGCGGTCTTTGGTTATTATCGACAAACGCGTTTCTA